AACTAACTGCACAACTGTGAAGGTGAGTCCTAAATGTTCTCAGGGGTCAGGAATTACCACAGGCTTCTATCTTCTCCATAAGAGAAGGGAATATACATCTGATGTTGACAGTGGTGGGCATGAAGGTGGTCTCCCAGCAGCATAGAAGACAATTTATCACAGATCTGGAAATAACTATGGCATCAATACCTTCCATAATACTATTTCTTGAATATAAAGTATGCCACCTACTTGATTTTGCTTCCTTGGGAGTTCTCACTGAGCACAAAGAATGAATCCTGAGGCTGACACCCAATCTGTGTAGTTGTTCTGGACCCTTCCCAGAACTCTCCACAGGTGAGCAGCAGGCACCGATGCTCTCACACACACTGTGTGCCAGTGTCCTTACATTCACTGAACAAATACTCCCATCTGATAAGGAGCTAAACTCTAAAATGTGGACTCTGAGCAGGGGTGGCTTCATTATAAAGAAAAGTCTAAGCTTTGCAGGTACTCACTTGCATGGGCCACTGTGAGAAAAGCCCTGTTCAGAGTTTCAGTTCTCATTTAATTATATAGATGGTTAAGCACCCATAAAGTCACTATCTAAATATTTGATTAAAGTAGGCAAAACTGAATAAAACATGCTATAAAAATGATAAAGTATGGGTTGACTTAACATTTCAAATGACACAATATATATGACACATGTTTGAAACAGCTTTTTTTTTTCATTTTAGACTCGGGGGTACACATGCATATTTCTTACATGGATGTATTGTGTAGTGGTGATGATTGGGTCTCATGTGCCCCATAGGTAGTTTCTGAACCCTTAACCCCTAACCAGCTCTCTCCCCCTCACTGGTGTCTCCAGTGTCTTTTATTTCCACCTTTGTGACCGTTCTGCTCCTCCATACGAGTGAGAACATGGTAGTTTTCTGTTTCAGTTCACTTAGGATGATGATCTCCAGCTCCATTAGTACTGCTGCAAAGGACATGATTTAATTCCTTTTTATGGCCATATAGTATAGTATTCAATGGTGTACATATACCACATTTTCTTTAACCAGTCAATTGTTGGTGAGTACTTAGATTGGTTCCATGATTTTGCTATTGTGAATAGCACTGCAATGAACATACAAGTACAGGTATGTTTTTCTTTTTTATTATTTAAACAATCTGTTAAATCACTCTATAAAAAAGATAATGGTTTCTGTATAACAACACTATTAATAATAGTGAAGTTTTAATATATTCCAGTCTTCTAGATGTTCTTCATACATTCATATTTTTTTCTCTTATTTTTTATTTTAAAAATATGGGGTACAATTCAGGGTTAGGTACATATATGGTCATCATACAGGTAAAGTATGGATACCCTTATTGATGTTATAAGCCTCCCCCCCGTGGCAGTGTTCCACTACTGCCAATCCCTTTTTTATAGTATTATAAATATTCAGGGTTCGCTTATGAGTAAGTACATGTGATACTCAGATCTTTGTTTCTGTGATAAATTACTGAATAGTATAGACTCTAATTCCATCCAGGTTGCTGTGAAGTTCATAATTTTGTTTTTCTTTATGGTTGCATAATATTCCATTGTGTAAATGCACCACATTTTCTTTATCCAGTCCACTTGTGATGGCTGGCACAACTGGTTTCATATTTTTGCTGCTGTGAATAATGCTGCAATAAACATGGGTATGCAGTTATCTTTTTTATAGAGTAATTTGAATTCCTCTGGGTATACTCCCAGAAGGGCGACTGCTCAGTTGTAAGAAAGGTTGACTTTTAGATCTTTTAGGAATCGCTACACTGTTTTCCATAGTGGTTGTACTAGTTTATACTCTCACCAACAGTGTAGAAGTGTTCCCTTTTCCCTGCATCCTCTCCAGTATCTGTTGTTTTTTGAGTTATTAATGATGGCCATCCTGATTGGAGTTAGGCAGAACCTCAGTGTGGTTTTAATTTGCATTTCTTTGATGATTGGTGAGGCTGAGCGCTGCTTGTATGTCTTTTGCCCATTTTTAAATAGGGCTGTTTTTTTTTTTCCTTTCAGCACATTTTGAGTTCCTTGTAGATCCTGGAATGTTAAGCCTTTGTCAGATTTACAGTTGGCAAATATTTTTTCCCTTTTTGTGGGCTGTCTCCCCACTTTCTTGATGGTTTATTTTGCTCTGCAGAAGGTTTTCAGTTTGTTGTGGTCCTACTTGCCTATCTTATCGTTTATGGCATTCACTTTTGGAGAGTTGATCAGGAATTGGTTGCCTATTCCAATTTCTGTAAGGTGTTTCCTATGTTTTCTTCTAGGATGCTTATAGTTTGAGGTTTTATATTTAGCTCTACGATTCACTTAGAATTGATTTTTGTGTATGGTGATAGGTAGGAGTCTTGTTTCAGTCTTTAGCATGTGGTCAATTTTCCCAGCACCATTTACTAAATAGGTTCTCCTCTCCCCAGTGGTTGCTGGTGGAGGCTTTGTTGAAGATGAGTTGGTCGAAAAATTGAAATTTTGCTTTCAGAATCTCTACCCTGTTCCATTGGTCTATATGCCGGTTCTTGTACCAATACAAGGTTGCTTTGATTACTGTAGCTTTATAGCAGAGTTTGAAGTCTGGAAGCATAATACCTCCCACTTTGTTTCTTTTGCTAAGGATTTTTTGGCTATTCATGGTCTTTTATGTTTCCATATGAATTTCTATATTTGTTTCCAGGTCTAAGAAGAATGACACTGGTAATTTAATGGGTATTGTATTAAATCTGTAGATTGTCTTTGGTAGGATGGATATCTTAACAATGTTAATTCTTCCAATCCATGAGCGTGGAATATTTTTCCATTTGTTTGTATTTTTCCATTTATTTTTCCATTTATTTGAACAGTGTTTTGTAGTTTTCATAGTAAAGGTCTTTCACTTCTTTGGTTAGGAAGATGCCAAGATATTTCTTCTTTTTTTTTTGTGGCTATTGTGAATGGGATTGTGCTTTGTATTTGAGTTTCTGTCTGTTATTGTTGGTGTATAGGAATGTGACTGTCTTCTGCACACTTATTTTATACCCTGAGATTTTGCCACAGTTATCTTGGGTTTTCAATATATAGGATCATGTCATCTGCAAAGAGGGATAACGTAACTTCCTCTTTTCTTATTTGGATACCCTTGATTTCCTTCTCATCTAATTGCTCTAGCTAGGACTTCCAACACTATGTTGAACAGGAGGGGTGAGAGTGGGCAGCTTTGTCTTGTTTTGGTTTTCAGGGGAAATGCTGCCAATTTGTCTGATTAGCAGTATATTGGTTGTGGGTTTATCATAGATGGCTCTTACTCTTTTGAGGTACATTCCACCTATGCCTACATGTTCAAGGGCTTTATCAAGAAGTGATGCTTGATTTTACCGAAAACTTTTTCTGGATCTAGTAATTATAATTATGTGTTTCTTGTTTTTACATCTATTGATGCATTTGGAATATTTTTCATATATTGATTTCTCTTCCTTTGGGGTTGTTTGCTCAAATGGTAATTTAATTTTTAGTTCTTTGAAAAATCTCCAGACTGTTTTCCATGGAGGATGAACTAGTTAACAATCTCACCAACAGTGGATGAGTATTCCCTTTTCTCCACAACCACTTTACGTTTGTTGTTGTTTGACTCTCTAACAATGGCCATACTGACTGGTGTGAGATGATATGTCACTGTGGTTTTAATTTGCATTTCTCTGATGATTAGTGATATTGAACATTTTTTCATGTGTTCCTTGGTCACTTGTGCATCTTTTTTTGAAAAGTGTCTATTCGTGTCTTTTGTCAATTTTTTGATGTGGCTATTTGTTTTTTTGCATGTTGTTTGAATTCCTTGTAGATTCTGGATATTAGTCCTTTGTCTGAGGTGTAATTTGCAAATATTTTCTCCCATTCAGTAGGTTTTTAAACTGTTGATTATTTCTTTTGCTGTCAGAAGCTTTTTAGTTTGACTAAGTCTCATTTGTCTATTTTAGTTTTTGTTGCACTTGCTTTTGGGGTCTTTGTCATGAATTCTGTGCATAGACCAATGTCTAGCGGAGTGTTCCCTAGGTTTTATTCAAGGATCTTTATAGTTTCAGGTCTACATTTATGTCTTTGATCCATCTTGAGTTAATTTTTGTATATGGTGAGAGATAGAGGTCCAATTTCATTTTTCTGCATATGGCTAGCCAATTTTCCCAGCACCATTTATTGAATAGGGTGTTTTTTCCCCATAGTTTATTTTTGTTGGCTTTGTTACAGATCAGCTGGTGGTAGGAATGTGGTTTTATTTCTGGGTTCTCTATTCTGTTCCATTAATCAATATGTCTATTCTTGTACCAGTACCCTGTAGTTTTATTTATTATACCCTTATAGTAAAATTTGAAGTCAGGCAGTGTGATGCCTCTGCAGTTGTTCATTTTGTTTAGAATTGCTTTGGCTATTTGGGCTCTCTTTTGATTCCAAATAAACTTTAGGATTGTTTTTTTCTAGTTCTGTGAAGAATGAAGTTGGTACTTTGAGCGGGATTTCACTGAATCTGTAGATTGCTTTGGGCAGCACGGTCATTTTAACAATATTGAATTTTCCAATCCACGAACACAGAATGTTTTTCCATTTGTTTGTGTTATCTACAACTTCTTTCATCAATGTTTTGTAATTCTCCTTGTATAGGTCTTTCACTTCCTTAGTTAAGTGTACTCCTATGGGTGTGTGTGTGTGTCTAGCATGAATGAGACTGAGCTCTTGATTTGGTTCTCAGCTTAAGTATTATTGTACATTGATTTTTTTATCCTGAGATTTTAACTGAAGTCAATTATCAGGTCTAGGAGCTTCTTGGGGGAGTCTTTAGAATTTTCTAGGTATACAATCACGTCATTCGCAAACAGATAGTTTGACTTCCTCTTTGCCAATAAATACCTTTTATTTATTTCTCTTGCCGGATTGCTCTTGCTAGGACTTCCAGGATGATGTGGTGAGATGATGTGGTGAGAATAAGAGTGGTGAGAGTGGGCATCCCTGTCTTGTTCCTGTTCTAAGGGAGAATGTTTTCAACTTTTCGTGGTTAAGTATGATGTTGGCTCTTGGCTTGTCATATATGGCTCTTACCATTTTGAGATATGTTCCTTCAATGCCTAGTTTGTTGAAGATTTTGATCATAAATAGCTAATATGACAATTCTATCATAAAGACTACCATCTGACTTGCTTATAAAAACCAGTATATGAAAATGTTACAAATACTTTATTTTTGCTTTCAAATTCAGACATGCTTCTGAAATTCAAATGTATTATGACTTCATAATTAAGGCAAATTAAAATAGACGTGTGTAAAAAGGCTAGCCTAGACTATAGATATGATTCCAATCCTAATGTATTTGCTAATGTTTTTCTATTGCTAATACTGATTTAACTTTATAAAGTTATAGTTTTTTATGAATTAATCATATAAAAGATCATCACAGTTCACAGAAAAAAATAAATCTAAGCAGTAATATTAATTTTGCCTGTAAAACAGACTGGATTTCTATATTAAGAAGTCACAACATAGATGCTTTCTATTTTATCAAAATAACATCACTCTATCAGAGAGAAAAAGGTGAATACTTGCCATCAAAACTAATACTTGCAACCTTGGTGTATTTACTTTCTGACGCTTTTAATGTAATTGGTTTAAAGTGTATCGTTATAGCATCATTTTGTGGTGTAGGCCGAACACTCTGCAAAGAGAAAAAAAACACATAAAACTATGTTGCATTAATGGTAGACAAATATTCAACTGACAACTCATGTTTTACACAAATGGTTTAAATTGCTAATTATTATTCAAAATAAACCAACAAACCTCAATCAGTTAAAACCCACTTTCCAAGGGAACAAAGACAAAGCAAAACCTTAAATAACTGGCTTATTCTGGTGGCTTTAAATGAAAAATAATATGCAATTATTACCTTGTTAATAAGCATATTTATACTAACAAACTGTTTTATTATTAGTCATTAACTATTGCTTACTCAAAAGATAATCAAGAAGTGGGAAAAATATGGCAATATTACCAGGAAAGGCAGCTTGCATATGTGCTAAATATAGATTCAGCTTTTTCTAATAGCATTCAGACCTAACTAATACTCAATAACTCTCAAGTGAGTCTCAAGGGTCCAGAATGTTCTGAAACTACCTTAAAAAGCACTTGAGCAAACAAACAAATAAAAATAACCTTTCAATATAAAACAACTGTATTTTTTAATAATTTGTATACAAATTCCCTAAAGCATATATCAAGCTGATATGGGTAAAATTAATAAGTAAATCTTTAATTCCTATTCATCAACTACCAAGGAAACATTGTACAAACGTTCCTCTTAAGACATCTCATGCACATTTATTTCATAATTTATTTAGCATTGTTTTGTAAATGTTAAGGAAAACCATTTTCTCAAAGTTGCATTAAAGACAACATCAGGAGTACTTGGTCCTGAGCATCCTGTCCATTAACAGGTGAGAAACTTAGAGTCCTTTGCTTGAGTAATCCTATAGTTAGAAAGAGAATAAATTCCCTGAGGGTGAATTAAACAGCAAAAAAAACCCCAAACTCTCCAGCTTCTAGTGCTGCTTAGCATATCCTAAAATTTCTATATATTAGTGAAGTGGAAAGAGGCAGGAAATTATGTAAATTATGCAGAAAATACTGAAACAAAAATCCTTAAGAAGCTCTCTTAAGTCTAATCAACCATAATTTTTCAAGTGGACCACTGCAACAGATCATAACTAGTCTCCTTTGCTTTCTGCCCTTCCGCCTCTGTAATTCACTCTCCAAAGTAGCCACAGTGACCTTTCACAACACATAAATCAGATGGTGTTACTCTCTTCTTAAAGTTCTATAATAATTTCCTGTTGCACTTAGAATAAAATCTAAACACATCCCAGAGCCCCTGGAAGCCCTGCTTGAAAATGAGCTCGATGGGGGGAGGACCCCAGTGGTCTGATTCAGGGCTGCACTTAGTACAGCAGCAGGCATATAGTTGATGTTCATTAAATATTTGTTGAATGAATGGATGATGAATGAAGGGGGAACGAAGACAAAACTACCAAAATATTAGCAGATATTGGCTTTGCATATTACAAAAAATATATAGGTAGGGAGAGATGTAGATATATAGACACACAGATAGGTTTTTAACAGAAACATTTACTATGAAATTAAAATATTTATAATATTCAGAAAAATTTGACTGCTAAGCAGCATTATATAATATACTTTCATGTAACTTTTGAATTTTTCACAGTTGGGTAAGTCATTTAAAAAAAAACAACAACAAACCTCTGACTCAGTTTTTCTACTTGGAAAACTATAAGGTTGCTGTATTAAATAAGGTAATCCATGTAATAAAACTAGTATGGTGACTGACCCAGTAAGGCAAAAATGTTCACTTACAATGCATTTTAATATACCTTCGTAAAAGATAAACACAGGACTATTTAATTTCAAGTCATAAATAAATTGAATACTACATTTTTTCTACTCACATTCGCTTACTGCAATTTTCATTTTTCTATAAAATGTTTATTGAAAAAGACATTTATTCCAGTCCATTTATTGTATGTAAAGAGTAAAGCCAGTTGGCTTGGGATAAGTAAAGGCACTTTCTCATTAAATCCCTAAACCACATTAGGAAAAATTATGAGTGGGAAGAAATACCAGGTGAGATAGCAGGACACTTCCTGGACTCCATCCTACTAGTGAGGAAGGCCACTGTGCATTAGATTGTGGCTACCTGAGGTGACAATCTCTTGCTTCCTCGGATGGGGTTTGTATACTCTTCTGTCTTTGTCTCTACTCCATGAGCTGGTGATAAAATCTGGGTTTGGCTATGGATGGACAAAGGTCCTTTCAGTCAAGCCCGTATGGTCTATCTCATTTTATCAGAGTTTCCTAAATTTAGGTTTCTGGCATCAGCATAAGGTATAATAAAAATGTTCTGCAAAGCTGGGCTCGGTGGCTCAGCCTGTAATCCCGCGCCTTTGGGAGGCTGAGGTGAGTGGACTGCCTGAGCCCGCGGGCTCGAGACCCGCCTGGGCAGTGAGACCTCATCTCTACAATAAATCAAAAAATCAGCCGGGCGTGGTAGCACATGCCTGTAATTCCGGCTACTCGGAAGGCTGAGGTGGAAGGATCTCCGGAGCCCAGCAGGTCGAGGCTGCGATGGCCAGGAGTGGCCACTGCACTCCAGTCTGGGCGACAGAGTGAGACTCCAACTCAAAAAAAAAAAAATGTTCTGCTTTCCTATATAACAATAAATTCTTATGTATGAATCTTAGTTATCAAGGAGAAGGGTTGTGGAATAATGCAAAACTTGGATATCCCCCTTTTTGTGGCTAAAATGATCCAATGGCATCCGATTCCACTATATGACACAAAAGTCACTTACTCTGTGTGTCTATGTGAGAGAAAGCGAGGACTCTAGATTATAATGTACTATCTAGGGCAACTCCAATAGCTGCCAGTTAGAAAGAGTGCCTATGACCAGTGTAAAACAGCACCCTCTTACCACTACCTTCCACATTTTTTTTTCCTGATTATTTTCTTCCTGGTCCTTCTTTTCTTCCCAACTCATGTGAATCTTTTTTCCCCTCTTTTTTTTTAAAAACCTGCCCATACCGTAAGTCTAACAACCAACCCTACGGAATCCTTCCACCTTGTTTTTCTTTGCAAATGGCACACAGATCCTAGGATTTATCAGAATCCACAGGCCTCTTATATGAGTCTGCTCAAATCAGAACCTCATGAATTTTGGTTCAAACTTAGCTTGGAAAAGATCATCTACTTTCCCTTTCATTCTTAAAATCAGGGTGATTCAAGGCAGAACAGTTTTCTCACATCACACTTAGGATCAAAGTGTCCATCAAGAAGGACATCACAAAACAGAATTCTTCTAGAGCAAGAGTTTAATTATTTTTAACTTTGTCATAAGTTTAAAAAGAAAGATATATAAATTAGAAAGACAATAAGTAAAAACTTACTGTTATTGGTACATCTTTTGTTCCTGAATTTAATAAATGAAGATTTAAAACTTTTGGTAGATCTGTTAAAATTGAGGAAGAGAAATATTTCTTAAAAAGGTATACTTTATAGCAAGTTAGAATCTTTACCTTATAAAATATTAAATTAAAGCTATTCTATAATGACAATCATATTGATAAACAGAAACATTAGACTGAAATCACTTTAATCATAAGGACATGTGTATTACAAGAATTGTTCCCTCTTATACAACCAAACCAAAAACGAACACACAAACAAAATATAATTGTTTAGTGAACTCAGACATTAGTAACCCTTTAGTTTTCCAGAAATCTAATGAAGCAAATTTATATGTACAATATGAAATTATCATATTAAAAGCAAATCTAATTTTTAAACATGTGGTTTCCGATCCTAAACAACCAAATTTAAAATTACATATAGCCTATATAAATCTGAAATTACAAGTACTCTTGGTTTTTCCTTAATACAAATCTTTACTTGGTTGTTTTCAATTTTAGAATCTGAATTCTTTCTCTGAACAACTGGGATGGATTTTTAACATTATGTTATTACAATGCAATTTCATAATTCATATCTAAACAAAATCATGAAGTAAATCTCTTTATTTTCTTTACGATTATAAAAAAAGATTCAGCAAAACTGAATGCATGAGAAACTGGACTAAATAACTAGAAAACTACTTTGTCCCTCAATCTTCCATTTAGATGACTTAAGTTATTCTATGACCTTTTTTCCTATCTGGTAAGCAGTGCTACCACAACCTATAAACTTATAAAGGCTGAGTCTCCAAAAAGAGATTTCCACAAGATCACACAACCCACTAAAAAATAACTTTCAAAGTTGAATTACAAAGTATAGCAGAACCATTCAGCACTGAATACAGGGCTCTTTTATTTATTTATTTATTAACCTATAAAGACTCTCTCTTTCTTTCTTTTTACCTTGTGTTCGTAGTGTACCGAAATCTAACATTTCAGTTGAAGAATAAATTCCGGGAGCTTGGAAGAAAGAAAAGTAAACAATTATCATTCATTTTGCTAGAGTAAAATGTATTGAAAACAAAGCAAAACAAACTTGCACTTTCTTCAGTTTTTCACTAACCTGTTGTGACTTCAACCTCAACAGGAAGAATGATAAACTCTGTGCTATCTGAAGCGTTAGTCTTGATTCTTATGAAGGCTGTGTGATTATCTGCTTCTCTAGATGAAAAACTGGCTCTCATCACTCCCTTGGTTTCATAAGGAGGAATTTCCTGACAAGTTAACAGACCATAATGTAGCACCGCTTTAGTAATGTTGCAAAACCGTCATATTTTATTGAATTGGATGACACTGACTGAAAGATACATTATTTTATATGCCTAAGAAAAAATACATTGCCAATTAAACAAATATATAACACATGCTCCAATTTTGGAGAATGATAAGATGTGCTTATCAGAACTGATGAATTGTGGTATGTAAAGTAAGCAAAGTAAAAGAAATAAAATAATCTGAAAATAAATTGTCAGTTGCAAATCATCATTGAAAGGTAAAACGAATCTACAAAATCATTTATCTTTTAACATGTTAGTGGTGCTCGGGTGTATCATTCAGTTCTGAAATTTAACCAAAAGAAATGTCATCATCAGAGGGAAATGCTACAGGGATCTCTGTAAATGACAACCAATAGGGCTTAGACTTAGCTTTCCCTTCACTTAAAACCTAACAAAACAAAGGAAAGCTTCTCAAGTAAATCCAGTTTACTAATTGCCTCTTGGTATGTAAGATAACATAAATTTCAGTCCTGTAATGACAGAATATTCATTCATAACGAAGACTTATTGGAAATAAATGGGGGAGGGGTATACTTCTTTCCTGGTTTTAGAACAATCTGGCTTCCTGAGGACTGGTGGAATTTCTCGGCAAACATCTTCCAGCATGTATTAGGAAATCTACGTGTTCTAGATATTTCTGGTCTTCACTTACTCCTACTCTCTTAAGTTTTTAGTTCCAAAGTAGAAAACAGGTGACTGGAACCCTCCTGGGAATCTAGGGATGGACCATCTACTCCCAACTCTAAGAAGCTGACTTGGCCTCTGGAATAAAATGGGCTGGAAGCGAGGTCAAGGCCCATTGACTTTTTTCTCACTTCTAGGTTTGTAGAAGTAAGAATTTATCTTTTTATAATAAAGTCACTAAGAGTACTGAAGCATGCTACTCTGCTATCGCTCATTATTGTTGTTGCCTATCTAGAAATCTGGATTGTCTTATGTTTATTAGATGCCAATTATATTTCACAGGAAATTCTTAGTTCTTCTATCTAGAATTATAATATGTATAAATTTAACAGCTTATATTCCATCCTCTGAAGCATCGTGTTACACACTGCATCTCCCAAAGGTTTTTCAAACACACAATTTCAAGATGAGACATATTTTTGAAAAAATATAAATGAACTGTCCATTACATATTTCTCTCTGCTAGCATGATTCTACATTTTGGGGGGTATGTAACCAAATCACTGACGGACATTTGTTTCTAAATATTTAAGCCAACATCCTAAAAATGTCACCTCTACATCTCTTATCTGGTCAAGACTGGTCAGAAGATAGAATCAAGAGGAGCATGTGCTAACAGAGCAATTAATAAAGAAACTTTGATCCTTAGAATTTCATTCATAGTGGTAAAGTTAATGTGACTCCAATTACAGATGAGCAGCAACCTGAGTGACCTTGGTATAAGCACCTCATTTACCACAACTGCCTTTCCTCTCTTGGATCAAAGCATGGTATACAATATTTAAAAAACTCTGGTATGGCAAGAACCTTTACAAATAGGGCAATTTCTGCATATTCCTTAATTTGGTTAACATTTGCTGGTATTCTTCAAGAGAAAGTGGTTCTCTAAGCATTGATACAAGTTTTGCTGTTAAATATTCAATAACATTGAAGGAGGATGTAAATCACCTAACAATTAAAATTTTCTAAGTCATCACAGGTGCTTGACTAAGTTCCCTTTGCAAATGCCATTTCCTCTATCAGTGGTGAATCTGAACACTCAATTCTCTGCCTTCAAAAATATAATGAACATTTCCCACATTTTAAAAAATCTTAGTGTAAAGCACATCACAAATAATCAGATTCAGAGACAACTTTACCAATATAATTTTGAGAAAGAATAGCTGAAATTGCTTCCTTACCACACAGCTGCCTGGAGGCTCCCACAGATTTTGTTCACTGCTCTTTCTCAGAATTACTACTTATACTTGTACTAACATTATATATACTTATATTTTAGTATATATTACTACTTATATTTTCTCACTCATCCAATTTTCAAATATGTCACATAAATTGAATATTAAGACAATAAAGAAAATTACTCGTATTTCTTCAGAAGATAAGGAATTAAGTATTTTCTGGTGTATTTGAGAAAATAACTATTTTCAATAGAGCACAAACAGGAGAAAACAATTTACCACTCACCCACAGTTTTCTGGTACCTCCTTGTTGACCCGTTGGAAGTTCTAGGTGAAGATCTCCTCCACTAGAGTACATTTCTACAACCTGGAACAAAAGAGCATGTGATGGTTAAGTTCAAAATCATATTCTCCAGTGCAGATGATTTGCTATTACAGAGAAGTAAATATTACATCAGAAAAAAATGAAAAACATCTACAGATACAAACATAGAATATGCATCACATCATATCACTAAATTCAGTGTCCCATATATGTGGTACTGGTACCTAAAAACAGTGTACACAGGTGTTTCAGAGACTAGATTTTAGAAAGTGTTATCTCTTTTTTCCAAATGAAATACTTAATGAAAATTACCAGCTGTTAGCAATACATGTAGTAACACAAGTGCTTCTTTATTTATACATTTATAACAAGGTCTAGTGTAGTTCAAACAACTACCATAATCGTACAATAGTGAACAGAATAAATGTTATTCTGAGATATGTACAATTCAAATGCAGTATAAGAATATTTGGTTTCTACTGGTAGCATAAATCATAGGTACTAACACCACTGTGGCTTGTACCCATCCTCATGATTTTTCAGGGACAGCTTTATAGAGTTTTCATTGATGTACAACAAATAATACATATTTAAAGTATACACCTTGATGAATCCTGACATGTATACAGGTATGAAACAATCACTGCAATTAAGATATCAAATATACTCATTACCCCCAACAGTTTCTCATGCTCCTTGCAATCCATATCCATTCCTCTCTGTCCCTTCCTATTCCTAGGCAACCACTAATCTGTTCTCTATCACTACAGATTAGTTTCTATTTCCAGAGTTCTATATAAATGGAATAATACAGTATGTACTCATGTCTGGCTTCTTTTACTCTGTTTAAGTAAGTATGATATCATATTGCTGTATGCATTAATAGTTCATCTCTTTTCTATTTTATGACTATACTGCAGTTTCTTATCCATTCATATACTGAATAGACATTTGGGTTGTTTCCAGTCTTTGGCCATTAGAGATAAAGCTGCTGTGGATACTGAGTACAAATCTGGGTGTAGACATCTGCTTTCCTTTCTCTTGGGTAAATACTTAGGAACAGAATGGGTCATATAGGAGGCGGCCTTCCTTAAAGGCAGGTAAGCTAGCCCTAGCTCTTAAAAGCAAAGAATACATTTAATTAAATCAATTAAATTTGGGGTGAAGTATGAGATGGGTGGAAAAACTTCAGTTGTTTTATAACTTGTTTTATCACTTGTTTTATCTGAGTAAGCAGAAAGGAGAAAGCAAGAAAAACAGCAATATTTTAGTATAAGCTTAAATGTTTCTTGTTTTTTTCTTTTTTCTTTTTTTAGGAGGAGTGTGTGCTACTGTAAAAGCAATGTATTTAGCAAAGACTGATGAGATAATATTTTCATTGAATATTATTAGTTGCCTCCTGATTTATTACAGTGCTTTTCATAGTGCTTATTGTATTAAAAATGGCACCTTAACTGAAGGGGTGACTATAGAACTTTTTCTGAAAAACCAGAAAACTTCACATATTATTTCACTTAATCCTTCCAGGTATCAAGGAAACAATCACAACAATGTTTGGTAACAGAAAATTAAAAGGCAGGCTATGAATAATGGGGAAAATGAATAAGGAAATGGAGACAGAAAAGTCTAACTTACAAAATCAAAGGAAATATTACATGAAACTAGGGAATCTGACACATTTTTGTCCAGTGCTATTTGTCTTAATTTAGTACAGTTTAGAATAAAAGAAAGTCAAACATATATGGAATATAATTTGTATTAAAAAAAAATTCCCACCAAAAATGTTTGTGTGCCCATATATATCCACTCAAATGCACAGGGAAGGGTCTGAAATGACACACACCAAGGTGACACGTGTGATATCTATAAGGGCTTGGACTGAGGCTGTCAGCTATCAGCTACATGTGGTTATTTAAAGTTAGATTAGTTGAAATGAAATAAAAATAAATGTCCAGCCACACTAGCTACCAATTCAAGTGCTCCATAGTCACATGTGGCTAGTGACTATTATATTAGAGCATAAAAAGAACTTTTCCAGCCGGGCTCGGTGGCTCAGCCTGTAATCCCGTGCCTTTGGGAGGCTGAGGTGAGTGGATTGCCTGAACCCGCGGGTTCGAGACCCGCCTGGGCAGCGAAACCTCATCTCTACAATAAATCAAAAAATCAGCTGGGTGTGGTAGCGCATGCCTGTAATTCCGGCTACTTGGAAGGCTGAGGCGGAAGGATTGCCAGAGCCCAGCAGGTCGAGTCTGCAGTGGCCGGGAGCGGCCACTGCACTCCAGTCTGGGCGATAGAGTGAGACTCCAACTCAAAAAAAAAAGAACTTTCCCATCATCACAGGAAGTTCTACTAGACAGTGCTGAACTGGAAAGTAGGAAGTTCAAAGGAACTTTTGCTTCACTCATTTGAATTGTTAATAGTTTTGTCAGGGAGCACATACTCATGTGTTTGTATTGTATAACGAACAAATCAGATGCATTTTCTTGCTTCACAACATTATATTAAATTTAAGGACAAGGCTAACAACAAAGCATAACATAGGTTATTAAGATAAAAGTGCCTTTCCCTCCATTGCCTTACTAGACTCTGGTGTGGCCACGTGCTTTTTGAGCTATGGCTGTTGCCGTGTTTCCTGGCTTGGCCCCCTCCCCTACCTTGGGGAGGTAAATCTCCTCTTTGTCTCTCTCTAATTTATTTTCTAAATAAACTATATTTTCTCAGCTAAAAAAAAAAAAGAGTGCCTTCCCAGTTAAACAATCTATATTGGTTCTAGCAGGGCAACTTTGGTGTTCCATTTGCTCTCCTGTGCACTGGTGAAGTCCATTATAAATTCAAATGCTCTAAACGGAAAGATAAGGTAAACTGAATTCAAAGAGATCAGTGTTCTGGATGACAGCTTGATAAGACAGTTGAGGAGAAAAAGCATAGACTGTAAGGCTACATAAGCAACTGTAGTTTGACTAACATCTGCTGAGTCCTATAAGTGCCATCCTTCCACACGGAGCAAGCCTCTTAGTCTGTGGTCTGGCTACCCCTACAGAGAAAGCCGCCTAGGGATACTCTGTGATACCCCTTCTACAGCAGTGTGGGGCAACTCATGCAGCAGGGGCTGATGGAGTGAGAGGCCAAGGTTTTGGTTCCTTGACCGTTTGCAGTCAAGGAAAGAAAGCCCAAGAATTTCTGAGGTTTCTGTACAGATCGGTAGCAACAGCCAGAACGTGGAAAATACACCATGACCCAAAGTAGCAAAGGGACATAAATGACAGAGTGATGGTGAAGAGAAGAGGCAACACTTTTCACCTGTAAATGCAGGTTTCTCTTTTGTGGTGAAGATATCTAGCTACAAAAATTAAAGTGGGGGCAGAGTGTTTTTGTCAGTGGCTATCCTCACCTAATTGTGGCCAAGTGAGGGAAAGACTTCCTTCTTGCTGCTTTTGCTTGTTAATTCCTGAGCATTTCACTGCTCGGGCTCTGCAAATCTCCCCTTGTTCCTCCATTTCCCCTTTCACTGTTTGCAAACCTTCATAACCAGGGGGTTCTAGGAGGACAAAACCACTTCAGTTGCCAAAGTCTATACTTAGAATATATTCTTCCCCCCCCCCCCCATCTGTCATTTTCAAGCTACAATGAAGTACTGTAGTGTCAGTCCCAAGGAACTCTGGGGCTCTGGATGCAGATATTATGGACTTTCTAGAAAGCATCCACATCTACTTCTAACACAGACAACACAACTAGAAGCTATAGTGGCTTCATGTGCCATATAATTGGAAGTCACTGGGATGTAAGGTGGGGATTTTAGAAAATCTCTGAAGGAGTGACACTAGCCACTCATACTCTGGAAGAGACAAGGAGCTAGTGAGGAAGGATTTCAAATTTGAAAATAATTACTACCGGAAGATTGGGCAAGATAATGAGTTTAATTATTTGAATTAAAAATAAGTTTGCTTTTAATCAGGTTCTGTATTACCCTTTCCTGAATTTTAGTTTCTGGGCTGGTATCACCAAAAAAATATTACCAGAAATAAATGCAAACTTTAAAAAAATTTATTTTGTACCAGAAGGAGTTTATAGGCGAGGGGAAAAAAAAGTAGACCTGGGTGGCCGAAAATTCTTCTTTAATTAAAAGCAGAGCTGCCTAAACTACAGCACCAGAGAAGCTACAGTCATTTAAAAATAGTTCCAAGCCGGGCTCAGTGGCTCAGCCTGTAATCCTGCGCCTTTGGGAGGCTGAGGTGAGTGGATTGCCTGAGCCCGCGGGTTCGAGACTCGCCTGGGCAGCGAGACCTCATCTCTACAATAAATCAAAAAATCAGCCGGGCGTGGTAGCGCATGCCTGTAATTCCGGCTACTCGGAAGGCTGAGGCGGAAGGATCGCCGGAGCCCAGGAGGTGAGGCTGCCGTGGCCGGAAGCAGCCACTGCAACTCCAGTCTGGGCGACAGAGTGAGACTCCAACTCAAAAAAAAAAAAAAAAAAAATAGTTTCAAAAATTCAAAATCCAAAATCCATTCCAAAGTTCAGACTATAGCAAGCTGTATTAAATGCAACACCCATCTTTAATACATATAAAAGTCCTATTATTTTAAATAGTCTTGGAAGCTGCAACAGAGATTTCACATGAAACATTAATTCCATCAAAATGAACTCATTCAAAATCACCATCATTAACTCACCTGTAAAGGTTCACTGTGAGGATTGTGTATGTTTATTATAGGAGAGAAACTGCTATTCACAGGGACTCTGGCCCCAAGGAATGGCCTCAATCGATATGGATTTGGGACTCCAACACCAAACACCTATTTCAGAGGACAAAGAAAATGCAATTTGAGTTGCTTTTATAACTAATATTTTTGTACTTAAAACTTTAATTGACGTAGGAAGACTGGTGAATCTAATTTAGATGGAAAAATATTAACAATTTCCACCTTCAAAAAAACACATGAATGTAGTTTCTACACATGATTTGGATACATACTTGATTTACTATATTTGCTATTGGAATAACAGGGATAGGCAAGAGGAAAAAACAAGGAATCAAAAGATTTTTCTAATTCCGACCATCAGAAGATGGATTAATGGCCCAGACAATCTCTCTCACATCAAACCCAGCCCCAGCTCATTCCCATATGGGATGGCCCTACGCTGACTAACCAATAATTCAAATGACAAATATTTATTAAGTGTTTTTGAGATGCCAGACATATATACAGTAGTGAACAATTCAATATGCCTACTCCCATGAAACCTACATTATAGTATTGGAGACATACCAATAAAAAGATTTTAAAAATCCCTCTGGCTACAGGGTGAAGAACAGATTGTGGTAGTGGTTGAGGGAGAGTGGAGGGTATTTAGACAGCTTCAATGTAATTCAGTGAGAGGTGACAGTGACTTGGAAAAGAGCAGTGGTAGTGAAGAGAAGTAGACTGATTCGAAATATATTTAGGAGGAAGACTTGGTGAAAGATTACATATGGAGAGGTAAAGAAAGAAGACAGGCCAGGCTCAGTGGCTCAGCCTGTAATCCCAGCACTTTGGGAGGCCGAGGTGAGTGAACTGCCTGAGCCTGCGGGTTCGAGACCAGCCGGGGCAACTTGGCGAGACCTCATCCCTACAGTAAATCAAAAATTAGCCGGGCATGGTAGCGCACTAGTTCTGGCTACTTGGAAGGCTGAGGCGGAAGGATCGCTGGAGCCCAGCAGGTCGACACTGGGATGGCCATGAGTGTGCCACTCCACTCCAGTCTGGGCAACAGAATGAGACTCCTAACTCAAAAAAAAAAGATTATGATTTTTGTAGTTACAAAAACATGGGTTTAAATCTCTGCTCAGCTACTTACTAGTTGTATAATTTGGGTACATTTTTTAATTTTTCTAAACTTTGGACTTTCTTATCTTAAAAAAAAATGACAACAACAGTATCTATAACACAGGCAAAAGTACATGTATTGTCAGTACAGTATACTGCCAGGCAAATATAATCAATTATTCATAATAATCTTGATATATAAAAATCTTGATTCACCAACAGAAAAATGATTGATTCACAAAACGATTTACTATATGATTCTTACAAACATTATTTTAATAACCTGAATAAAAATTTTACATAAAAATAAGCTTATTTAAAAAGGAAACAATATAATATTTACTAGAGAAAAGCAGGCATGAATGCTTTAATCTTTAAATTATTATCAGGTATGCTTCTTCAGTGTGTAAAAATTAAAGACAATTTTAAAAGTCAGCATGAAAATATTTTTTACTATTCTTTTGTCAACCGATCTTGCATTAACACTTTAGCTGTAGCCTTAAAATCATTTGCTTAGTCTGATTTGAATAGGAATATTTACAATAAATATAAAAATGCTCTAAATCTAAACTCTTACATTTTCTATTATCCCCTGAGTTTCTGAACCAAGTTCTTAAAACGTTGTCTTATGATAAGGCAGAGATAAAATAAACAAAAGTTTTAATTCTGGTTCTTACCTGGTAAGTAAATACCCCATGATTCGATGTGTTAATAAATAAAGTATTTTCTACATTTCCTACTACTCTTGCAAGAAAAACTACATCAAATGATGTATTTCCTCCTGGAAGAATTTTCTGGGGAAAAAAAGCAATAAATAATGTTAAATTGGTAACCAAAAACAAACAAACCCCCCAAAAGAAAATCAGATCACACTGACCAAAATTAGACAGCTAAAGTTTCTCTAAACACATATCCTAGAATCATTTCCATAAACTAGCTTTTTTCCTTTCAATGTTTAAGCTTTAAACTCACCAAACTACTGTGTAATGGAAAATAATTTAAAAAGATGTCTTCATACTGAATGTCTACAGTCACATACCTTTGTCAATTACCAGCCTAAAGTCCTCTACAACATATGATTTCCTTGGCTTCTGTTCATTTAACAATCGCTAGGCTGGAATGAAGTGACTAATTATATAATCAGATAATCAAGTAAGAGTTGAGCTGAAGCTGAGCTTTTCACATAGATGTACTACTGTACTACTAAGCAGAAACCCGTACTATTCCAAGAAAATGAGCCTAGGCCGCAGCACCCTGAAATCTGCTATCCATCCCTCCACACAAGGAAAAAAATGTCCCAGCAACTTAAACTAGGAAGGGAGGCAGAAGTGCAAGTACTTGTAAGAACTCCCTCTTGTTACATTGTAAAGATTGAGAATGTCACTGTAGTTCGTGGAATAACATTTTACTACAACAAAACCATAGGGCTGTTCCAAGAAGTTCAAGAGACTGGGATTGTGGTTCTGCCTGTAATGAAGTCTTAAAATTCATTTCAGTATGCCATCAACCTCTTTCATTCTGGTTCTATGGCTAAAATTCTAAATTTTGAGATACCTGTATTATAGCTCAAAATGTATGGCATTGAGACTGGCTTCACCATAGGATGAAGAAAGCAGGAAATAGTACATTATCACCAACAAAAAGCAGGATAATTTACAAAAATTACAACTTCACCTGAACCCATCACAGAGTTTAGTTGTTAACTAGCCCAAAATCATAGGCAGGACAGGATGCTCCAAGGAAAGATGGAATGTGAATACTGGCTCCCTGATGGCACAGAATGAGAGGACGAAGCTACCACACAAGAGGGAAACCAAGACACTCAACCAGAATTCTTACACACTGCTAAAGGTCAAGTGTGGGTTAGCATGAGCATACAGAACCCCTGGAAGCCGTAGACACTAGCTGGAATTCACACCTCAGTCAGAAATCAATAACAAAAAGATGTCTGGTAAATCTTCAAAAAGTTTGAAATTAGGTAACACACTTCTAAAAAAATCTACTAGTCAAATAAGTAGCCACAAGAGAAACTACAAAATATTTTGAAGTGATTAAAAATGAAAACACAACATATCAATGTTTAGCTGTACTGTAGTTGAAGTCATACTTGAGGAGAAATTTATAGTGTTACAAGTTTATTTTGAATACAAATATCACAAATCAAAAAAATGTACATTGTTGCTTTGAGACACTAGAAAAAAGCAAATTGAACCCAAAGTAAGCAAAAGGAAGAATAATAAAGAGAAGAGCAAAATTAATGAAATAGAAAATAGAAAGCGGCAAAAAAAAATCAATAAAACCAAAGATAGGGCTTCAAAATGTTCATAAAATTGATAAAACCCTATATATATAAACACTAAAAAAAAGAGAAAAGACAGAAATATAGGAAACTAAAATGGAGAAATCATTATATACCCTTTAGACATGAAAAAGAATGATAAAGGAGTATTACAAACAACTCTATGCCCATACATTTAACAACCAGGAGAAATAGACACATTCTCCAACAAACTGCTAAATCTGACACAGTCTGTCAAAGCCACTCAAAATGAAATAGACAACCAGAACAGTCCTACAACCTAACTAACCGCATTTAATTTGTGGTTTAAAATCTTCCCACAAAGAAAAGCCTGAGTCCAGACGACTTCACTGGCAGAATGGCAGAATTCTCTACCAAACAGTTAAGGAAGCAATAATACCTTTTCCATGGAAACTTTCTAACATACAGAAGAAGGGAGAACATTCTTAACTCTCTTTATGAATTCAGCATTACCCTGATTTCAAGACAAGTTAAAGAATTGATAAGAAAACTGTAAGCCAGTAACTTTCACTTATATTGACATACAACCTTCTACAAAGAAAGTACTTGCAAACTGAATCCAAACAATATATAAAAAGGATAATACATCATTACCAGGTAGGTTTCTATCTTAGGAATGCAACTCTAGTTCAACATTCAAAAATCAGTCAATAACCTTATCAACAGACTAAAGAAGAAAATCCATAAGGTCATTTCAATAGATGCATGTAATAATTTGAGAAAATTAATATCCACTCAGTAAACTATGACAATAGAAGAAAACTCCTTCAACCTCTTAAAGAATATCTGCAGAAACCTTAGAGCTATTTAATGGTGAATGGCTGAAGACTTTTCCTCCAAATTTGAAAATAAAAGAAATAAAAGGCATATGCATTAGTACAGAAGAAAAATCTGTTTTTATTCACAGACACTATGGCTTTCTATATATAGAATCTCAAAAGACATCTACAAAAATGCTCCCATAACTAAGAAAAATAGTTTAATAAAGTCATGGGAATCAAGGTCAATATATATTGATCAACTACATTTCCATATTCTAGCAATGAACAACAATAATTCTAATTTAAAAAAATACCATTTATAGTAACACTCATACAAAATTGAGGTATAAATCTAATAGTACGTGCAAGTTCTGAAAGCTGAAAACTATGAAAGCACCACTGAAAGTAACCAAAAAAAAACAACAACAACAAAACAGAGATACTATGTTCATGAATTGGAAGACTCACTATTGTTAAGTCAATAATTCTCCCCAAATTGGTAGACATATCCAACGCAGTAATCAAATAGTATGGACCGGTGAAAGAATAGATATTTTAGAGTCAATGTATTAGATATACATTAGAACATAGTATAGAGTACAAAAAGAGATCCACACATACAAGGTCAATTGCTTTTCAACAAAAATACAGTGGGATTTCAATGAGAAAGAATAGATGTTTTCAAGCAAAGGCTGAGGAACAATTGAATATCTCCATGCAAAATGAAACAAATCAAAACAATTCTTAATCCTTATCTCATACCATAAACAAACATTAGCTAAAAATGGATCATAGAACCAAATGTAAAATCTGAAACTATTATAACTGTCCCTCAGTATCTGTGAGGGACTGGTTTCAGAACCTCCTGCAAAAAATCTGCACATTCCTAAGTCCCTGATATAAAATGGTGCAGTATTTGCATATAATCTATGTATATCCTCCTGTATACTTTAAATCATCTCTAGGTTACTCATAATACCTAATTCAATGTAACACACAATATAATGCTATGTAAATAGCTGTTATACTGTATTGTTTAGGGAGCAATGACAAAAAGAAAGTCTGAACATCTTCAGTACAAAAGTAATTATTTTTCAAATATTTTTGATTCGTGGTTGGTTGAAGTCATGTGCAGAACCCACAGATACAAAGGGCCATCTGTACTTGCAAAAGTAAAACTGGATAAAATCTTTGTGACTCTGGGCTAGGCAAAGATTTCTTAGCTAGAACTCCAAAAGCATGACCCATAAAAGAAAAATTTGATAAACTGGAAACTTCAGCTCTTTAAAAGATTATATAAAAAGTGTAAAAAGACATGCTACAAACTGGAAGAAAAAATTTGCAAATCACATATCTGGTAAAGGACTTATATCTAGAATATATAAAGAACTCTCAAGAGCTCAATAAGAAACAATCAAAAATAAAAATAAAAACAGGCAAAAGAATTGAGCAGTCATTTCACCAAAGAAAGTACATGAATGGCAAATTAAAAAGATACTCAACAACATTTTCTACTGGGGAATGCAAATTAAAATAAAAATGGAGGAACACTATGCATCTATTTGAATAACTACCAAACAAAACAAAAAAGTCCAAATCTGACAATACCAAGTGCTAAGAAGGATGTGGAGCAACTAAACTCTCACACATCTCTGTGGGAATGCAAAGTAGTACAGTCATTATGAAAAACTGTTAAACATACACCTAGCGTAAGACCCAGCAATCTCACTGCTAGGTATTTACATAAGGGAAATAAACATTTATGTTCATACAAAAATCTTCAGGTAAATGTTCATAGTCGTTTTATTTATACTAACTCCTCAAACTGGAAACAACCCAAAAGTCTTCAACTGGTGAATGAATAAACACACTGTGATACTGCCAGCAAATGAAACACTACTTTGCAATAAAGTGGTACAAAGAACTGATACACCCAACTATGTGGGCCAATATGAAGTGAATTATGTTAAATAAAAGAAGCCAGACTAGAAAAGCTATATACTACATGGTTCCATTAATGGAATCTTCTGGAATAGGTTATACTTAGTAGTTTGAATGGACTAAGTTGTTGATTAAACTCAGAATATACTAAAAAAGGTGTTTTACTGCAAGTATACTAATTACATAACAAACAAATGTGTGTGTGTTTACTGTTTTAAGTGAGTCTGAAGGGATACAGACTCAGTCAAAAGAGTATTTTAGCCTTGTCTATTTTTACAAAGGCCGGAGTTTGCACATTCCCTTGGAGCAAGGACAAGTAACTGAATGTTTAGGTTTAACTTTTGGTGGGCAAGATTATACCAAACTCCAAATAAATTTACTTTAAAACAATAAAATCACAAACAAAGTTGAATGATATCATCGAGTTCAGGCAGTCCACTCATACTCTTCACTGTCATGAACTTAATTCCAAAGTGTCATGCTGCTGGCCCCTGTTTTTCACCTTTATGACATCCTCTGACAATTTAAGGAGTCACAGTTCTGACACCCAAAGACATAAAGAGGAAATCTCAAGGCAATGTGGAAAAAAAAAGAGTCATTTTCCCATCTAAGATGCTAGTGCTTGTAATACAGATGCTTTATACCATAACAAGAAAAAAAGGGAGAAAATAATGCTAAAAAATGCGGAGTTAATAAAAGACCTTCATATAAAGCAAGGAGTGAGAATAACTGCACTGAAAGGGCCAGTAAAGAAAACATATAACTCATTCTG